GTGCAAGTCTGCCCAACCCCTTCACAGGAAGTTAGGTTAAAACCATAGCATGGTGGGGCTCTTGCTGTTCAAAAGGGATAGGTTTTATAGGTAGCCCCAGCGGCCTCCCACTGTGCGAATGTGCCAATAAACTCAGGTTAAATTCTAATTCTTGTTCTGCTACTGCTTCACTTTCTGCCCCACCTCACTCTCTCCCCCTCCCTCTCTTCCTTTATTATTTCTTAAGATACCTTATAACATTTACCCCCACTAAGTAGCAACGTCTTCAAAGTGGTCTGATTGGTCCTTCAAACCAGGTTGAGTTTGTCTAGAGGCCACTTGAGCATTTTCCTAGTGACTTTATAGGGTAACAAACATTACTTTTTTTTGAGTTGGGGGACATGGGGTGGACAAAAAGGACATGAAAATATTGCAAGTTCTGGAAAATGGGATTTAAGCAGTCTTGGCGGAAGTTGTCCAATCCAACCCTGAAGTGATCTGTATCCAAGAGAAAGGTTTTCGTGGTGGTGGCGGTGGCGGTGGCTGGAGTGTTTTGGGAGTCAACAGCTTGCTGTGTGAGTTGAAAAAACAAGCTGGAGCTAAAAATGTCTAGTGTAGCTGACAGTGGTGCCTCCCTGAATTAACTCACCTGTGTGCTTACGAGTCATATGACAAGAGCTGAGAAAAGTCTCAGGCATATTCAAACCAAACCTTTTCACTGACCAGAGGCCCAGAGAGGGTAAATACTTACTCAAAGCTGTATAGCACATTGGCTGTGCTGCCAGAAAAACCAGGGCTGTCTCTCATCATTACTCACTGCTCTTTAGTCTCCCTTAGTGATTATAACTAGAATGGGAATACATCTTGGCTGTTTGACTGCCCCCACCATAACCTCTGTGTGTGTGTGTGTGTGTGTGTGTGTGTGTGTTTCCCTTGAACTCCTATCCCATCTGCCTAGGGGGAGGAGAGCTCCCCTAAGTCAGGGTTTGCTGAACTGCACACCCCTACCCCATTCAGCTTTTGACCTGTATACAGGATGGGTTATCAGCAGTTACAAACCAATATGGAACTGAACTTTTTCCTTCACCCCAGCAACCACCGAAGCAACTAGCCCCTCCCTGGTCCTTGTGATGGGCTATTCATTAATAGAGCCTTTACCAACAAGGGGGAAGGGGGCAAGAAGCCCCACTTGTACTGCCAGGGGCCATTCTTGGTGAACAGGATTAAGCTACTGATGAGTGATCCCCAAAATGTGAGAGTGGAGGTGTGTGTATAATTTTTTAAATTAAGTCTCTACTGTGTGCCAGCTGCTTTTACAAGCATTATCTTCTGTGGTTCTCAGAACAACCCTGCAAGGTATATGGTATCCTTGTTTTTATGGATGCAGAATCTGAGGTTTAGTAAGGTTACTTAACTTGCATAAAGTAACACAGCTGGTAAATAGCAGAAATTTGAACCCAGGTCAGTCAGCCCACAGTGCTGTCACACTGCCCCGCCACTCCCCTCGTTATCCAGCCATGGCTATGCCTAGGAAAACATGTTGCTAGTTTTTATTTAGAAAACAAATGGCAAAGGAGTTGGAACAAAATGTGCCCGGGTATCTGTTTTATCAACTGTTCTTGTCTTCCTCTTTTTGTTGCTTCTAGAATCATCATAGGTTTTTCTTTAACATATTTTACCTCATTAGAAACAAAGCTGGGTTTTTTTCCTAAAATAAAAGTACACGTTTTTTGAGAGAATACAGATGTGCACAAAAAGGAAAAGTCTTCCCAAATGATGCATCAGGAGGGAATTCAGTATAGCTTCTGTTTAAGGGCGTTGGCCCTGGAGCTAGACTGCAGGGGTTTGAAACCCTGCTCTGTCCTTAAAATTGGGACGACGTCTTCTGTGCCTGTTTTTTGTCAGTGAAGTTGGAAGTACCCTACCTCACTGGGTTGTTATTAAAATTAAATGAGTTAATAGATGTGAAGCCTCCAGAAGCATCCAGGAGAAGTTTCATTGACATTTGAATAAATAACCTGGTTTTCCTCTCTACATATAAATTTTTATGCTAATATGTTTAAAAAAATGATTTTTTTTAACCAGCTATTTTTTATCTAATAATACATTGTGACCATCTTTCCATACCTCTAACAGTCTTCTCTGTTACTTGATAGCTGCCTAGTACCCCGTGATGTGACAGTGTGGATGTTCTATACTAATCCATCTTGTTGGACATGCAGATTGCCAATTTTGCCCTAACATAATGCATTTTTAAAACAAATTTGAGATGTTGTGCCGTGAATGGCGTTTCTGTAGTTGATAGGAGCTTCCCATTCTTTTCACAGCATACCTCATCCTCTCCTGGTGTGAATGAAGATCTGGATATGTACTACCTTTGGGAGCTTAAAACAACAAAAACCAAAACTAACCCACTGCTGTGAAATCACTTCTGACTTATGGCGACCCCATGTGTTACACAGTAGAACTGCTCTGAACTGCCTTAATTCTGAGTGTAGCCAGCACTGTGAACTTTCCATGTCAGCCCTAAGTGGGGAACTCCAACTGTCTTTTTCTCCCTTTAATCTAGAAAACTCACGTTTCCTCGTTTTATATCTCTGACATGAACTCACTCTTCATTCCCAAGAAATCACAAATCAGAAAACCCATTTTAGTTTTATGAGTTTCTGGTGACATGCTTATTTGATTACCTTACTGATGTAAAATTCTCACTGGTCTTAGGTTGGCAGAAACCACTGATTAGTTCCTCCACCCTTCTTTTAGCCACCAGCAAACCTTTAGGTCATTTGTTTGAAAACCCTCCTTTTGCCTCTCTATCCCCTACCCCCTGAGTTTATTATATATGCAGACTCAAGGGATAGACTGAGGCTGAGCTCCAGGAGACAATGGAATGAAAGGGACCAGTAGACTTGTATGGGATAGACCTCTTAAAAGGGTTATGGCTGTAATGGGATTTTTTTCTCCTACAGTCTAACAGAAGAAAACCCAAGGTTCTGAAACCTGGAGTTATAAACAGTGTACATTCTACAGGAACTCAGCTACATTCCTGGGCACAGTTGACTGACCAATCTCAGATCCAGTCATTTTCCTATTAAAGGGAAGGACTTGATTTTTTTTCACTCTAGTCTAGATAGTATCTCATTACCCCTGACAAAGGACATACTATGCTATTTAGGGTCATAGGTCTGCCAAAATTATGGCAGTCTGGTGCTGAAATGGCATCAAGACTTAAAAAGAAATAATGCATGTTTTCTGCATTTGTAAAACTCAAAGCATCGATTACTCTCTGCAGTGTTTTCCAAAGTGCTTCTTAATTAGTTTCCTTCTGACACCCTCCCGTGAGAAAGGTTAAGTAGCATAGCCCTTCTTACACTGAGGAAGACACTGAAACAATGAGAGGTTAATTGACTTGGCTTTGGACTGTAGAGTGAGGCTGGTCCTGCCGGAATAGCTGCTGCCTTAACTGCTTTCCACTCCAAAGGCCCTGCACAGCCCACACTGCCTCAGGAAGGCCTCTCTAACAGGCAGGAAGAGCTCCCAACTGAGGAAGGGGCATCCATTTGGGATAGCTGCTCGGCCATGTTTTTGGAAGTTCTGTTGGGGGCTACTGAGGGAGGGAAAGAGCTGGCCTCTTCAAAGTCATAGTCCAAGGTCTTTGACCTAGAAACTGCTTTCCTGCCTTGAGCTAAACTGTAGGAGTGATGAAGGACAAAAAGAAATTATTTCTGGCTCAGTTGCTCAGCCTTGGCAGAGGGCCCTTTAACTCTGAAATATAAACCTGACAGCTACAAAAGCTTTAGGAATCTGACGTCGTTTCGCCCCCACAATTCACATGCTGGTCTTTTCTGCAGAAGGGTTACTGATTATGCCTGGTGCATGCAGTGCCATCATGTTAAGGGTTCTCTACAATTAAGGTGCAGTAAAATACATAGTAAGGACTATATAAAGCAGAAAAAAAAAGCCCATTGCCACTGGGTTGATTCCAACTCATAGTGACCCTATAGGACAGAGTAGAACTTCCCCATTGAGTTTCCAGGGAGCGCCTGGTGGATTCAAACTGCAGACCTTTTGGTTAGCAGCCATAGCTCTTAACCACTATGCCACAGGGTTTCCTATAGAGAGCTCCTAATATTGAGGGTCCATGGATCTCTTCCTCTCACCCTTAATATACTACTAAAGCTTGGCGTATTGCTCCCTGCAAAGCAGCAAATCCTTACCACTAAGCCAGAATGGCGCTGCTGTTGGTGACATGGTCTTAGATAAAAAGCTAGGTACTGATGCTTCTGTTATTCTTGTGTCTTGAACATACTCTTTCTCTGGCTTCTTAGAGGCCCACTCCTAATTAGCTGAATTTCTGACAAGATTCCTGTGAGAAGAGCAAGCTGTAATAAGAGAAAGGGAAGCACTGGATTCTGTGGCAGCATAATTGATTTTATCCCCTCTCTACTTCTGACAAAGAGCCATGGTGGTGCAGTGATTAAGCGCTCAGCTGCTAACTGAAAGGTTGACTGTTCCAACCCACCAGTCACTCCTTGGGAGAAAGATGTGGCAGTCTGCTTCCATAAAGATTATGGCCTTGGAAACTAATGGAGGCAGTTCTACTCTGTCCTGTAGGGTTGCTGAGTCGGAATCAACTAGATGGCAAAGGGTTTTCTACTGCTTACAAGGAGTTCTGGTGATGAAATGGTTAAGCACTCAGCTGCTAACTGAAAGGCTGGTGGTTCAAACCCACCCAGCTGCTGTGCAAGAGAAAGACCTGGCGATCTGCTCCTGTAAAGATTTCAGCCTAGAAAACCCCATGAGGCCGTCGTATAGAGTCACTATGAGTAGAAACGGATTCAGTGGCACCCAGTAACAACAACTACTGCTGCTGCTTACAGTTATGCATCCTTAGGCTGGTGGTGTCTTCTTTTTGAGCTTCAAGTTTTCTCATCTGTAAAATGAGAATACCTGCCCTACTGTTAAACTATAAAAACATGCAAATGGACATTCACTTCACAAAAACAGATCAAGTTATAGCCCAGTGAGGGTTGGCATGCGGCCTCAGAATGTTCCTCTGCCACCCAGGCCAGCCTCCTTTGCACTTGGTTCTGTTCACCTTGAAATGTGGGGTGGAGCTGAGATCTGCCATTTGGGGCTTGGAACTCTACATTTTATCAGACTGTTCTACTAATTTTCATGGCAGTCAAGGCCAGACCAACATGACCTTTTTTTGTCTCTGTTTTGTCTGGAGCAGGGATCCCTGGTCTTCCTGGATGGAACAAGAAGATAAGCAGGGTGTGTGTGAAACCCAGGACCTGGAGGATAAAGAGATGGGCTCCGATTTTGAGAACTCTGAGGACAGGGAAGAGGACCCAGAAGAAAGAGGAACACAGGACACAGATGAGAGAGAGGACCACCTGGAGAAAGAGATGGGCTCCAGCCCCCAGGATGAAGATCTACGAGGGGTCTCAGAGGAGAGGGAGATGGTGCCCAACATCTGCACCGGTGAGGAGAAAGCTGGCATTTCCATGGAAGCTTCCCCACTCACATTTACTTCTGGCTCTGGCTAGTATAACTGGGGCTGCATTCTTTCTTTGGGGAGGAGCTCACAAAAGAATTCTTTACTGCCTTAGCCCTTCTAGTGTTAGGTCTGAGGAAGACCCTTTTCTTCAACCCAGTCTGAGGTGGGCTCTGCTGGTAAGCCTGGGTGAAGAAGTTAGTTCATGGGTATAGCACTTTACAGTATACAGAACACTGCCATATAATTAACATTTGTAATAGCACTTTAACAGTGGGAACAGAGGTAATATTAGCGCCTACCTCACAGGGTGTTCCGCTATGAGTCGGAATAGACTCAACTGCAATGGGTAATAGGGTGTTGGGAAGAGTTAAATGAATTGCTGCACATAAAGGTTTACTTAGCACAGTGCTAGGCAACTAGAAAGTGTCCAGGTGTTTACAGTTACAATCATCATCCCCATTTACAGATAAGTAAAGTGTGTGGTAAGTGATCTACCCAGGTTCATGTGGCCAACACCCAAAGTGCCAAAAACCAAACTTGGTGCCGTCGAGCTGATTTCAACTCATAGCGATGCTGTAGGACAGAATAGAACTGCCCCATAGGTTTTCTAAGGAGCGGCTGGTGGATTCAAACAACTGACCTTTTGTTTAGCAGCCAAGCTCTTAACTACTGCCTCACCAGGGCTCCAAAGGACCAAGGCCCCTGCTAAATCTCTTGCTATTTCTAACCTGGAGTTAATGCTAGTTCTCCATCTCCCTCCTTGGTTCCACTTTCGGGCATTCGTTGGCACAGAAATGAGCTGTAATACCTTAAGGCCAGGACTGGGAGGTTAAGTTCCTTCCCCAGTGAAACAGTCCCAGACACCCTGCTGCTTCCCCCTTCCCCTCATGCACATGTGGTCGTTCACATCTCCATCTCAGTAGCTTTCTGAGTGTCCTCTGCTTGGGGAGAAGCCGCAAGAGACTGATAGATGTGTGTTCAGCTCCAGGCCTTGTGCTCACACCCCCTTTTCCCTACCATCACCCCCACCCCCATACATAGTAAAGCACTTAGGTTGGGGTGAGTTCAATTTTTTCCACCTTAAGCTATTACAGACTAAACTATTTTAAAAATCAGTCCAAACAAAAAAAACCAAACCCACTGCCATGGAGTAGATTCCAACTCATGGCAACCCCATAGGTTTCCAGCGCTGTAAATCTCTATGGAAGCAGATTGCCACATCTTCCTCCCAGGAGCTGCTGGTGGTTTCCAACCCCAGACCTTTCAGTTAGCAGTTGATCACTTTAACCACTGTACCACCAGGGCTCCCTAAAATCAGTCCAGAGCCTGGTTATTTTGTAGGTGGGTGGAGTGGGCTTGTTTTTGGAGGCCAGAGCCTTAAAAGGCATTGGTAGCTGTTGGGATGAGCAAATCTCTTCTCCAAATCCCATTCCCACCTGGCCCAGACTTGACTTTCCAGCACAGGTTGTCAGTCAAGCCTTTGGATGGATCTGCTGAGGGCCCTGGGATGCAGTGGATAGAGACAGGCTCTGAGGCAGAACTGGTGGGCAAAGGGGGCTGCTGAGTGAGCTTTCCCCAGATTTCTGAGTGGCTCTCGTTTAGGCCATTCCTAGGAGAGTCTGAAATTGGCAGGAACCTCAGGGAGGGGTTGAGATTGTCTTGGAGAAGGGGTTACTCCTTGACCTACACTCTTATTGAGACTGGCTTTCTGAGGTTTACCTTTCGAGCGTCCAGTATAGTAACCCTCAGTTTCCGTTGCAGAGGATCTGCTGAGTGAGGAAGAAGGGGCTGCTCTCCGGGAGGAAGAGGATGACCAGCCTGGTGTAGCTGATTTGGCAATGTTCCCAAGACTGTCTGAGTCTGACAGCATATCCCGGAGCCCCCAGGAAGAGGAGGAGGAGAGTGTAGGGGAGAACCGGCTGGAGAAGGACGAGGAGCAGCCGCCCGCTCCCGTGCTTCCCTGGAGGCGGCACCTCTCTCTGGGGAGTTGGCACCGGGGCGACAAGCCTGCCCATCGCCGCTTCCGCCGGCTCCACCACCCCATGGCCATGGATCTCGGGGAGCTCGACAGCCTGGTGGCCAGCATCATGGACGCGCCCACCATCTGCCCCGACTGTGGGGAGAGCTTCAGCCCTGGCACTGCCTTCCTGCAGCACCAGCGCATCCACCGCCTGGCAGAGGCGGCCGCCGTAGCCGGCTTGGAGCCCTTTGGCTTCACCGGGGAGTGTGGCGCAGTGGTGGGGATGATGGGAGTGGGCGTGACTGGGGGCTTCCGGGCGGGGCCCGCGCTGGCCCGGCCCCCCGGCGAGAAGCCCTTCCGCTGCGGAGAGTGCGGCAAGGGCTTCAGCCGCAACACGTACCTCACCAACCACCTACGGCTGCACACGGGCGAGCGACCCAACCTGTGCGCCGACTGCGGCAAGAGCTTCAGCTGGCGCGCCGACCTGCTCAAGCACCGGCGCCTGCACACGGGCGAGAAGCCCTACCCTTGCCCCGAGTGTGGCGAGGCCTTCAGCCTCAGCTCCCACCTGCTGAGCCATCGCCGCGCACACGCTGCGGCCAGCGGCGCGGGGGCGGCGGCACTGCGGCCCTTTGCTTGTGGGGAGTGCGGCAAGGGCTTTGTGCGCCGCTCGCACCTGGCTAACCACCAGCGCATACACACGGGCGAGAAGCCGCATGGATGCGGGGAGTGTGGCAAGCGCTTTAGCTGGCGCTCAGACTTGGTGAAGCACCAGCGCGTGCACACAGGCGAGAAGCCCTATATGTGCTCCGAGTGTGGCGAGACCTTCAGCGTGAGCTCGCACCTCTTCACGCACAAGCGCACGCACTCGGGCGAGCGGCCCTACGTGTGCCGCGAATGCGGCAAGGGCTTCGGCCGCAACTCGCACCTGGTGAACCACTTGCGTGTACACACGGGCGAGAAGCCTTTCCGCTGCGGTCAGTGCGAGAAGCGCTTCAGCGATTTCTCCACGCTTACGCAGCACCAGCGCACGCACACGGGCGAGAAGCCTTACACATGCATCGAGTGTGGCAAGAGCTTCATCCAGAGCTCACACCTGATCCGTCACCGCCGCATCCACACCGGCAACAAGCCGCACAAATGCGCTAGCTGCGGCAAGGGCTTCCGCTACAAAACGCACCTAGCGCAGCACCAGAAGCTGCACCTGTGCTAGGGCTTGGCCGGAGGGAGGCGGCCCTCTGGGGAGCATGTGGGAAAGTACATGTCCTGGGGACAGACCCTGTAGAATTGGGGGAGGGACAATCTGGCCGTGACTGGGGAGCCTTTTGGTGTTCGGGGGTGCTGAAGGGATGGCTGGGTAAGAGTTTTTCTTTTGGGGTGCTGTATTTTGCCTGCCTCCTGCCCACTTAAGTGTTTGAGAGATGTGCTTTAAGATCAATGACTTCTTCAATTACATACTGTAGGAAGGGGCGAAGAGCATGGAGGAGCAGGCACTTCGAGGACCTTGAGGAAGGGGAGTTGGGAGGCTGAGAACAGGAGGGCAGGGAGTACAGTGGGGTGGGCCATGGGAATCAGGGGAGAGGTGTAGTTGGAGTGAGGGTTATGGGGTAAAATAAAAGACAGGTATAAATCTACCTTGGTACCACCAAGTGTTAAAGCCGATGTTTTCCCTACCCCCCGACATTGGCTATAGCGTCAATTTTGTAGGAGAGAATATTTTCTATACTCTTCCTTTCTGTGAGCCACAATTAGCTGCTATTTTGAGGCATCCAGGGGGAAACTTGGGGAGAAAAACTACACAACCTCATTTCAAGGGAGCAACCTCTGGGTTTAGAAATTCATTTATAGCTGATTCTCAGATCTGGGAAATCGAAAGTTTAGCTCCCGGTTGTTTGCTCCATCCTTTAAAATGCTCCAGCATCATGCTAGGTCAAAGTGGTCTATGTGGAGGGCCAGCCCCCTGCTCCTGGCGTCAGGAGTGTGCCGGGCCCAATATTTCCAGGTGTCACTTGTGATCTTTTAAATGCAGAGAATGGAACAATCCCAGCAATGTGTGACTTTCCCCTTCCCAGGTCAGTTTGATGCGCGTTTCATTAAGGTGAACCTCAGACCATCAACAGTTGCCCCAGAGACCTGCCACATAAGTCAAGGGTCTCAGAGTTATGCTTTCCTTATGTAAGAAATTAAGGAAAGCCAAGTGTTCAAAAATTGGGGCATAAGGCTCCTTTGTCGCTTTTGCCTCCGTTTTGCATCTGTGATGCCCCCTCCCCTGCTTTAGTAATGGGGGAGGTACCCAAACTTCCACCTCCATCTCTACTGATGTGGGATCTGGTCTAAGTAGGAATTTCTTTTTCCTGGTTGTGGAGGCACAGTGGAAATCTCAAGGCTTTACACAGGGAGGGACAGTCAGGGAGAGGTGTTGGTGCAAAATTGCCAAATAGCACAAGCAATGAATGTTTTCTGGTTGTTATATAAATGCCAAAATAGCACTTTTATATTTGTAAAGTGCTTTATGCTTTTTAATGATTGTTAGTTGTTTCTCACATCTTTCTGAGGCAGATCAGTATTATGACCACTGTCTCACGGTAGGCCTGGGTGCAGGAGTGCTACACTAACAGCAGTGTGAATTGGTATGGTCTGACCTTTTGTGCTCTCCAGCTCAGCTGCTAGAAAGACTTACCTGTCGTGATTTGTGTAACAACATGAGGACACTGAAAATTCTTATGCTTAATGGAAACACTTAAGGCTAGTCCAGAAGGGCCAAAGATGTCCTTGTTGACAAAGCTGGTCTTTGTCATGTGATTAGGGTGTCTAGAGCTACGATCCGTTTATACTAGGGGGCTGTAGTTAGAGGCCCCTTGTATAGATTTCAGTTACGTATGCTGAAAATTTCTCCCCTAGGTTAGCCCTTAGAAGTTAGGGTTGTGGAAAGCGGTATTGTTTTCTTCACTAGTGATTGTTACCCTGTATCTTTCTTGGAAGCATCTACACAGACTGTTGAACATGTTTGAAGATTAAAAAAAAAAAAAGCTACAAGATTATTAACACTTGTAAGTTTTTACAGTTTCAGCAAAGTTTCTGCGGATGCTGAAAATTTGTACTTGATCAGTTGTATTCTAGCAAAGAAACTCTTTTGGGACTGTAGAAAAACATGTTTTTTGCCATTATAAAAAGAATTAAAAAAAAAAATCCTGAGAATTCGAGGCTTGTATAATGCCTGTTGATCTGGCCCTCTTAATCAGTTTATTATTCACAAATGCAAATAGCTTTTCAAAATATAGACACTAATTCTTTTTTATTTTCTTTTAGTCAGGAGTAATATAAGCAAAGTAAGTGTTCAGTATTTATTCTAACTCTTGTACTCTGGATACAAGTGTATTAGACTCACCTTAAAATAATATAGCCAGTTTGTAGGAATTATTATTTTTTCCATGCACATCTACCTCTGATAGCTGTTTTAAGTTCTCTTGAGTCTGTGCCTATGAAATCTCATCCAACTTTTGATTGTCCTCTTTGTGGTTTATTTGGCCTTTTGCTGCCAGTCTTTATACTATTGCATAGTTTTGTCTGCATCAAATACGTTCCATATCAGCAGCTTTAGAGAAAGGATTCCATGTGGAAAGAAGATAATGTAAAATAACTAAGTGGCAGTGGAAATCTTTGAATTTCGATCATTAACTCTTGTTTTTCTCTTACCAGAAGAGTCAGTTACTACTTCAATTTCCCATCTATGAGCCAATCTTTTATAAGAAGAAAATAGTTCAGCCACCAACACCCCACTGTCATGGTGCATTTAAAATGTGATTCCATTTTTCTTGCAATTCTTCAGGACACGTATCTTCATTAAGTGAGGGTTAAATGCATTCAGGAGGAAGCTTCTTGAATCTAGTTTTAGAATAATAGTATTTCTTCAGCAAGCCCTGTTCACTGTGGTTCACCCTTGAAAACGTTCCTCTGTTTGCAAGAGTCCTTCCACCGTCTCATTAATGATTGTGAAAGCAGATGTATTTGTTTCCTGGAGAGTTTGGTCAAAGGCAGGCTTCCTCTGCTGCCCTTTACTGAGCAAAACCTGGAGTAGTTTATATAGGCCAAATGGTTTGATTAAATCTTGAACTTTGAGTTGGAAGGAGAAGATAGGAAGTTAACTCCTTGAGCCATGTCGTCTCTTCAAAATCAAGAGGCTGGCTATACATATATGAAAAAGTACAAATTAAGAACCTGTGTTCAAAGACAATCTGAACTTTGTTTCTCAAGTTTGTGCACATTTTGCTTCACTGTAATGTTATTTTACAGCTGTTTGTTAAAATAGTGAATAATTTAATGATCCTGAAAGTAACAAGTTTTATGTGTGTGCTTGTGTACGTGAAAATTGCCTTATTTTCAGGTTGTTTTATTTAATGATGGTTCTTTGGACAGCTACCTGGTGTTCAGCAACCAATATGGAATATTTGTCATTAAATCCATACCAGTCTTTTACCATGTCCTTCTTTTTTTATTATTTCTCATCAGTTAGATGTCACTCAGCTCCATCTATGGAAGCTATATTCTGGTAGAACAGGGGTTGGGAAACTACCAATTCCGCCCTGCCTCTTTTTGTAAATAAAATTTTTTTGGAACACAGACACATCCATACAGCCACATTTACATATAGCTGCTCGACTACTAACTGAAAGGTTGGCAGTTTGAACCCACCCAGAGGCACCTCAGAAGAAAGGCCTGGTGATTGAATTCCAAAAGATCAGCTATTGAAAACCCGATGGAGTGCAGTTCTACCCTGACACACATAGGGTCACCATGAGTTGGAATCGACTTGGCGGCAACTGGTTTTATGGCTGCTTTCAAACTACAACGACAGAGTTGAATAGTTGAGACAGAGACTGATGGCCCACAAATCTTTTTTTTTTAATTTAATTTTATTGTTGTACTTTAGGTGAAAGTTTACAATTCAAGTTAGTCTCTCATACAAAAACTTATACATACATTGTTATGTGACCCTAATTGCTCTCCCTATACTGTTACAGCACACTCCTCCTTTCCACCCCTGATTTCCCATGTCCATTCAACCAGCTCCTGATCCTCTCTGCCTTTTCATCTCACCTCCAGATAGGAGCTGCCTATTTAGTCTCATGTGTCTACTTGAGCTAAGAAGCACACTCTTCACGAGTATCATTTTATGTCTCATGGTCCAGTCTAATCTTTGAAGAGTTGGCCTCGGAAACGGTTTTAGTGTTGGGTTGACAGAGAGTCCGGGGGCCGTGCTTTCTGGGGTTTCTCCAGTCTCAGACCTAAGTCTGGTCTTTTTACTAGAATTTGAGTTCTGCACCCCACTTTCGTCCTGCACCAACAGGGACTCTGTTGTGTTCCCTGTCAGGGTGGTCATTGGTGGTAGCCGGGCACCATCTAGTTCTGGTTCTGGCTGTTGCAGTCTCTGGTTTATGTGGACCTTTCTGTCTCTTGTGGCCCACAAATCTTAAAATATTTACTGTCTGGAGCTTTGCAGAAAAAGGTTCTTGACCGTTGTGTGAGAATGTTCAGGTGGGTCCTAGATCATCCTGGAATTATGTCTAAATGGCCTACACATTCTAACCAGGAATTTCATGCAACATTTCTACATTAATGTTGCTTAGGGATGTTGGGAATGTGTTAATGTTATACCACTGGTACTGATTTCCAAAGACCTGGGTCTTCATTTCTTTTAATTAATCTGTGGAGAATAAATAGGGGAGATAGTTTGAAGAAGGGAGACAGTCTTGAGTCTGGTCTCCAAGCTATTTAAAAAAAAACAAACAAAAAACTGTGTTCCTGAATCACAAATATTTTCTTTCCCCAAGTTCTTAGAAATGTAACTTAATAGCTACTGATAATACTGAAAGGAATTTGTTCCAGCTAGACTGGCCTTTTGCTAGAAATATTTTTTAGCTCATCTCTGCCCAACTTCATGGAAACATTGAGACAGCAGTTTCGAAGGAAGGGGTTCACAAGAAATAGAAAAGAGGAAGAGAGGCACCTCATTTCCTTTTAATTATCACAACTACCTGCTTATCTGAACATCCACAAGCCCCTTCCCTGCCCAGAAGGGCCATGCAGATGCTGAATCCTAGTACTGGTAGGCCTAGTGTCCCAATGGTTAAGTGCTCAGCTGCTTACCTAAAGGTTGGTGGTTCGAACCCACCCAATGGCTCTGTGGGGAAAAAGACCTGGTGATCTGCTTCT